CTCCACACGAACGACCTACATTGAGTGGTCTGTAACATTTACAGAGTGGGCCGTATCCATAGTGTTGTCAGGATAAGGTACCCAGCCTTATCCATATACTATAGATMATTTAGRTTATTCACGGGATATTATCCACTTGTATATCAAATATATACCTCGTATATTAGGGGTATATCAAATATATACMTASTATATCAAATATATACCAGTTGAGTTAAACAACAAATTGGATTTTGGACAATGCAATGCTATGAATTCAACAACAAATTTATTGAATAAAACTTTATTGAATATACATTTGTTTCTACATAAATACAAACTATGAGTTTAGGGCAACACACCCAACACGTGAATAAGTGATTGTACCCCAAATGATATCAGCTGTAGCATTAGACATACTTATGTACTCTGATTCGTCACTGGAACGAGAAACAACCTTCTGCTTGCCTGAGTTCCATGAAATGAGGTTGGCTCCCAAAAAGGTGCAAAACCCACTGGTACTTCGTCTATCATCGAGGCAACTTGCCCAATCGACATCCGTGTAGCACATTAATGATAAAGATGCTGATTTAGTAACTAAAAGTTAATGTGTCGAAGARCTTTTAAGATACCGGACAAGGCTTTCATAACATTCCAATGTGATGTGGYGGGAGAATGGAGGAATACGCAAAGTTTATTTACGGAGTAAGAAATATCTGGACGAGTGAGAGTGCAGTATTGTAAGTCCCCCACCAAACTCCTATATTCATATGGATTTTCCAGGGGAGTACCATCAGCAATGKATAATGGAGTACCAGTGGCCATGGGTGTTGAAAAAGCTTTGGAATCAAACATGTTTGCACACTTGAGGAGGTCAGAAATGTATTATTCTTGCAATAGATGAAGAGCACCAACCGTCTTAGTTACTTGAATACCCAAAAAAAAAAAGAAGATAAATCACCAAAATCCTTTATGGAGTACTGATTTCCGAGAGCAACTATAAAGTGAGAGGCAAGGTCAGAATCGTTACCAGTTACTATGATGTTTTCAACATATATTAGAAAGATAACAATCTTGCTTATAAATAAACATCAATGTATCTGCCTTTGAACCAAAAAAGCATCATTCTTGTAAACAATTACTTAGCTTCATAAACCAGGCCCTTGGACTTTGTTTTAGTCCATAAAGAGATTTGTGCAAGCATAAAACATGATTGGGATGAGATTGATCAACAAAATCGGGTAGCTGGCGTATGTAAACAACTTTTGATAAGTCACCATGCWGAAAAGCGTTCTGCATATCTAATTGACGGATGGACCAATTGAAAGAGACCGCAAGAGATAGAACAATTCGAATTGATATTGGTTTCACCATTGGGCTAAAGGTGTCAAAGTAATCTATTCCATAAGAYTGAGTATACCCTTGAGCCACGAGTCGTGTCTTATATCGATCAATGTCCCCATCGCGCTTAAGCTTGGGGCGAAACACTCATTTCGAACCTACTGTTTTTCCATAATGTGGAAGTTCAACCAAGGACCATGTTTGATTTTGAAGCAAGACATTGTATTCATCCAACATAGCATTGCGCCAGTGAAGATCTTGTAAAGCAACCTTATAATTTTGTGGTTCCGAAAACTGGCATGGAGTTTGGGAGCGATGCCAACCAAGCTTTTGGTTTAAAAATCCCAGCCTTAGAACGAGTTATCATAGGATGGATGTTGGTAGTTGTGGTGGGGTGGGGAGGCTGGTTTATGGTTGGGGAAGATGGAATGGTGGAGGTGGCATGGCTATCATGTGGGGAAGAAATGGTCCGGACAGTTTGTGAYGGTGAAGGTGAGATAGATAGAGATGGAGTTGTTGTTGTGGTTTGGCCAGTAAGTGATGGTGATGGTGAAATAGATGAGGATGGAGTGGCTGTAGTGGCAGGGGAGAAGGTGATCCAGTAAAAAATGGTTGGGTATGTGGGTGGTGAATAGAAACGTTATTGGAAAAAGAGGAGCAAGAAGATGAAGCATAGGTACTTGTAGAGGATAGAGGTTGAGGGAGGGACATAGAGGGATTTGAAGGAAGGAGGAAACAAGGAGATGACAAGTTATCAGCATGATATTCAAGAAMTTTAGCTACTGTCAAGGATGAATTGGTTAAAAAGGGAAATGAAGATTCATTAAAAATGACATGATGAGAGACATGTACACGTCCGGAATTATAATCTAGACAAAGATACCCATGGTGATTCGAACAACATCCAAGAAAAACACACTATGTTGTTCGGTATTGGATTTTGTTTCATTGAAACGACAGAGAAAAGGAAAACAAGAGCAGCCAAAGCTTTTTCAAAGTTTATAGTCTGGCAAATTTTTGTACAGTATGGTATAAGGAGCTTTGCCCAAGACAGTAGAGGGGAGCCTATTGATGAGGAAGGAAGCTGTTTGAAAAGCATATGACCAAACAGATTGGAGAATATTGGAGTGGGCTAAGAGAGACAAACCAACCTCTACTAGGTGGCGATTTTTTCATTCAACACGACCATTTTGCTGCGGCGTGTGTGGACAGGAGATGCGATGATGAATTCCATAAGAAGCAAGAATGGAGGAGAGTTTTCTAAATTCACCACCCAATCAGTTTGCAATTGTTGTTTTTTTTTTAGTGGTGAATTGATTTTCGACGAAGGCCTTGAAGTGTAAGAATGATTGGAACGTTTCATCTTTTGATTTTAAAAGATAAAGCCAAGTGAAACGACTATAATCATCAATGTGACGATGGCTGAAGGAATAGGGAAAGATCCCCATACATCAGAGTGAACTAAATTAAAAGGAGTAAGAGCCCTCGAATAAGACAAAGTAAATGGTAGACGATGCCTTTTAGCCATTTGACAGGACTTACAAAAATCAAGAGTACTACTAACTTGAGATTACATTGAGTGAGAACTTGTCTAACAACACTAGACGCCGGATGACCTAACCTATGATGCCAAATCGAAGGATCTGTAAGTTGGGAGAAAAAAGCAGCTGGAGCTCGCTTGAACGGATCAAAATTTGGGTTGGCATATGTTGGAGAGAGTTTGTAGAGACCTTGATCAAGATTGCCCCGAAGAACAACCATCTCGGTGTGTAGATCCTTCACAAGAAATAAAGTAAGGATGAAATTCTACGAAAGCTCTATTATCATGACAGAGTTTTGCAACACTAATCCATCTTTTTGATAATTGAGGAGTATGCAAAACAGATTTAAGTTTTATAAGAGGAGAAGACAGAGATTGTTTAATAACAGTAGAGCCAATGGTTAAGATGAGAAGGCACTTACCATTTCCCATAACCACCTCTTCACTACCATAATATGGRTTAGATTGTTGAAGATTTGTTTATATCAGGGGTCATGTGACGAGTGGCCCCTGAATACAAGAACCAAGATTCATCAGGATGGGCAGTGGAGCTATAAGTTGGGAAGGAGGTTGGGCTAGGTTGAGTGGTTTGGACATGGTTAAAAAAAGATAGAGGAGGAGGTTGGGGACTGTTTCGATGGTAGCAAACAATGGCCGTGTGACCAAACTTGCCACATATTTGACATTGGACTCTAGGAGGAGGAGATGGCTGAGAGTTCTTAGGCAAACGGTGGTTGTTCTGTGAGTTTGGTGGTCGACCCAAAATACCAGCAGTTGCATATTGGTTATTATAAGGATATGGATTTGGTAGCAGAAGTTAAGGATTAAGAGGTTGGGGATAAAAAGGCTGAGATTGTGGGTGGAAAGGTTGTTGGGTAAAAAAAGGCATGGATGTCGGATGTGGTTGTTGAAAGGGAAATGAAGGTTGAGGGAGAGGTGTCGCTGATAGTGGAGTTTTTTGCAGAGGAGGGAAATAATTTGGGATATTAGGGCTGGAGACGTTTGGGTGATGGGGGTGTATATTGCTTCTCATATGAGTGTTGTAGGGGTGACAATAAGAGGTGGTGGAGGAGGGACTATAACCGACTGGGTTGTAACACCGATGGATGAAGCTGCACTACCACCGGAAGAAGAATAAGCCATTAATTTGAGAGAAAGAGCCTCAGCTTTGATACCATGTACGACTATCAAGAAAAGGAGAGACAAAAAGGAATGTTGGAAGCAAAAACTCCAGCACACAAGGTTGGACACAGACACTTGTAATAAATAGAGAAAATAGTAAACACGTGTAGCTTAGTTACTAAATAATTAAATAAATAATACTTRGGTGTTTATCATCTCTCACATCAATTTTTTTACAAACAGAGTGAAAATTGGCTTTTTTCTTATTTTTTAAACAAAATTTTTTAGTAGCAATGAASGGGTGTTCTAAAACGTAACACAAAAAACCTCATGACCAACCCAAATCATACTGTTTGAGTTGGGTTATTATAAACTTGTTTCGATTTGATTGAGTTCAAATAACGGTGTGTTTGGGAGTGCTACTTTTGTATTGTCAAAATCACTCCCCTTTACATGGATCATCCCTAAATTAGAAAATTGATTTTAAGAAAACTTAAATCATTTTAAATTAATTTTTAAGGTATCACTTAAATGGTGATTTTAGAAAATCAATTACACTTTAATCTCTTTTTTCAAAATCACTAATTAAACGTACCTAAATGAAACATCTATAGATTAAATTGGTTCAAGGATTCAACTAAAATGAACGTGGATTGAATCATATTAACTTGAATTTATTATTAATTTTTAAATCATTTATTCTTCTTATTGTAAAATTATATAGTGGATATATTTATTTTTATATTTATCTTATTCCATAATTTTTTTAAGAACCTTTTTAAATGGTATTTTTCACCGTATAAACAAACATTGACTTATGATCTTGGCTCAATATTAGAAAATATGTAAATAACTGTTTAGGATATTAACATTTACATTTTTGGTTTTTTGGTGAGATAATAAGACTTGTTTGGGTTAATAAATTTACAACCGAGATAATTGGGTTTGAAGTGAAAAGTGCTTAGTTAAGTAGGGTGGAAAATAAATATACTTTTAATACTACAATTATTGAGAAATGTTTCAAAACTTAAAACTATTGGATTTATTAAGAATTTACAAAATTCTATATCATATTCAAAATATAACAGAATGAAAGAGAACACAATACATGAGGCCACCACAAAGGAACCCCGTTCTCTTTCCCTACACCATGAAATCAAATCAAGAGAGAGAATAATATAATATGAAAAGTACTGAAGCCTCGCTAATTTTATCCTACCGCTAAAAAATTGACGACTCATTAATTTTTAAAAAAATTCTCTAATTTTAGATTTTTTTACTGAGTTGTCAAAGAGTGGTTAGATAGTTTCTCATCAGTGAAGGCCTCAGTATTTTTCATAGGATCTTGATTAATGTTTATCAAAGAAGGCGACGAGGGAGCTGTAAACAACGTCGTGGGCATCAACGCCCATGATGAAGTCAGCATGGGCATAGCGATCGATGAACTGAACGGAGAACTTGTCAACATCGTGGAGTTTGAAGTGGTCGAGGAGGTGGGTGACGTCGGGCACGTCGGAGAGGGCGTCCCGGCCGCCATAGCTGATGAAGATGGGGACGTCGTGGGGAATGTTGGAGAGGTTGTAGATGGGCGGCCTCAGTTCTTTGTAGTGAAATAAGTTGAATATTTTTCCGTAGTTGTACTTTGCCAATACCCCATGTCTCGCAACTAAAAAACAAAAACATGAATGTGTTAGTTTAATCAATATTATTCAAACCCTACATCTTTCTATGCTTAATACTAATCTGGATGTAATTTAAGCATGGAAGTATATGGTGAAAGTCAAAATTTTGATTAGAGAAACCAACCTTGAACATTAGCCTACTATTCAAGCTTAGACCAGCCCACACAGATGTCAAGTTTGCATCTCGAATATATAAAAGTCGGAGGTAATGTCTTCGGGGCTGTTTTGAAACTTAATTTCACAAATGTCTTTAAATTTTCTAATTTTACACTTTTAGATGTCTGCATGTAGTATTTTTTTATAATACCGATTTTACCCTTATTTAATACATTTACTAAACGGCCCATCAACCTATTAATCCGTAAAAATTAACTTACTTTGAGCTAAGTGGACCATGTTCTTGGTGGACGTTGACTGAGGTTCATTCATCAAAAAGAGTCCAACGGTAGATGAATTGAGACAACAATTATGACCTGCATATATTAAATTATAAGTTAATGCTGTAGGGATAAAAAGAAAATCACACGATTACTTAATTTATTGACTATTATTAAAGGAAAAAAAAAACCAAACAAAAAAGGAGTCAGAGAAATAAACCAGTGAGAGCTGTTAATAAGTCGTAGCAATTTATCCCTTGATTAGCACACAGAACTTTCAGAAAATGCCCCACAGCCTCCCTGTCATTCAACGACAAAATTAAATTTTTGTATAAAAAATCACAAATTAAATTTATATCAACCTTTCTTTCCCAAGAACAAAATCACAAATACATAATAATAATCCTCGACGCCATTATAAGGGACACGTTCTACCACTGAGTTAATTAATAGTCCTTCGTGTGGAAGGTCGATTTTTCTTTTCTTCGATCTATAAAACCTTATATATATAAATTTGTAGGACAACTTTGAGTCGTATCATAATGAACTCGTCAAAATAATCTTAAATTAAGGTTGTTTTGTATATAGTATAAACTATTTTGATTTTCTATTCGAATTAGAAATTTCGTCTATAAAATTTTAAAAGATTTAATTTTAATTTTAATTTTAGTCAAGTATAAAAGATTATTCATACAGTCACCACATTAATATAATTTTTTTACCAGGCGAGTGGGAGTTTATATTAGACAAAACTATGTTATTTGACTCTATTTTATAGGAGGAAATAAGTAAATTTTTCAACAAATTGGAAAGTTTAATAAACTTTCAAAATTATAAGTATCAAATTTGAAAATTAACCCAAATTCGAAAGATTAAATTGAAAATTTTAAAATCATGGGACCAAATTAAATCTAGATCTAAATAAATAATTAAGGCCCATTAATAACCATTTCGTTTTTTATTTATGTTTTTAAAGAATTAAATTAAAAAACATCAATTTCACCTATATACTCATTTGTTTTGTTATATAATATTTTTTTAAAAATATTAAAATCTAGGTCAAATTTTACGAAAAAATTTAAAATTTTATCGTTGTTTTTAAAATTTAGCTTAAAAACTCAAATATATATGTTTTATAAATTTGGCTAGAAAGTCAAATATATTTTCAAGATGGTAGAAAAATAAATATAATTTTAAAATGAGAAAAATGAAGGGTTATCTATCGTAAGGCAATTAAATTTATAATTTAACTATTTAAAAAAAAGGAAAAAGGAAAAGAAAAAGGAAATGTACCCTTTTGGATTGAACTCTGCAACGCCCAACAGAGTAGTAAGCTGCAAAAAGTATCAGATAAATTCTATCATCGTCAAGAAAGAGAAACCGCGGTTGCGCAGACTGTATTTCATTAGGGTCCGTTTCGTAAAGTTATTATTTTTTATTTTTTTTTCTAATTTTATCAAAAATAAATAAATAAACATTTGATTTTTTCTTTCTTATTTTGTAGAAATATTCTCTAAATTATATAGAAGTTTTTTGAAACAACAAAAACAAGATAACTTTCTTATTTCTTATTTTTGTTTCTTTGTTTTTAATAAAGAAATAAATTGCATGGTCTTAACATCCATGAATTGAATAGGAACAAGAAATAAAAAAACTTGTTTGGATTGTTTCTAAAATTTTTATACAGTTTTGATAATATCCACAAGAAATGAGAAACAAAAAACATAGTTAGTTGCAAAATACTTAGATTTCTTAAGAAAATTGGAAAAAAGAAACAAAGAAACATAAACATTATCAAACTGACCTGACCTTTTACATCTTATTTTCGTTTTTAATTTGTTTCCATATAAATAAAAATATTGTTTTACTATTCTTTGAAATCGTACAATTATATATATTTTTTATTATAAAAAATGAAATAGAAACAAGTAACGAGAATGATACTAAACAAATCCTTAAAAAGATCCAAAAAAGTGAGAGTGACGGTAACAAACCTCACCGACGAAGGATCGGGCAGCCAAGGCGCCGATAGCGGTGGTCATGTGGCTGAGATATGCAATTGGGCTCAGAAGCGCCACCGACCGGAGCTTGTCCACCAACCTCCCCTCCGACAATGATGCCAAAATTATGAGCGTCCCCTGTCCAGTTTAAAATAGGAGCTCATCTTCTTGCCATATTTTACTGAGTTGAGCACATCATTTTTTATGTATAATACGTAATTTTTTATGATATATAATTTTTGTAATACGTAAAGCAGAGAATATCGAGATATTTATTTAGTGTGTATCTTCTAATTAATGGTATTGGGTTACCATCAAAAGACACAAATTCACGCGCTCACCTCTACATGTTAAAAAATATATATAAAAGAATTATGTATCATAAAAATTACCTATTATAGATAGTACTGGGGAGTCTTAAACTTTATTTTGTAATAATATAGTGAGAAATGTTAAGATTTAACGAGGTTTTTTATATATCCAGATCGAAAAACCAAAATTATTACATAATAAAAATTAACATTCATTTATTTTTTAAAGATTTTTCACAACATAAGCTATAAGCTAAATTATTATCCACTGATGGGCTTAATTTTTTTAACTCACTTTTAAAAGAATAAGTAATGGATGGACAGTTGGACAGCACCAAAAAAGTTTAGAAGCATATAATAACTCTTTTCAGAGGCACATCAAAAAAAAGAAAAAAAATTTTATAATCTATATATATATTCCATTTTAATTTTCAAACCCTCAATAACTTTTTTGGTTTTGGTCCATGAACTTACCAATTATCGATTTCGGTCTCTAAATTCGTAAAAAAAAATAAAATAAAAAAAGCTAATTATTTTTTGTTATTACAATAGCAGAATTTATAATTTAGTATCTTAACTTAAAAAAAAAGTAACTACTTTTATCTTTATTATTTTTTCACCTACAACAATATTATACATATTCTCTATTTTATCCATTTGTTAAACCCAAAACAAAAGTAAAGATCAAATGTTTATTTTTGAAACTCGTGGTACACGTTGGACTAAAATATAATAACTTTAAAATAAGTAAGGACCTAAATAAATATTTTAGAATATTGAGTCGACGGCTTGAACCACTCTCACCCATACAAATTAAACGACGAGTTTTAACATGCAGAAATCCATAACTCACTCAAATATTAATCTATTAGCTAACGATGTTATAAACTAAAGATTAATTATTTCGCGGTCTGATCTTATACAAACTTATTGTATAGGATATCTCTAAGAATTAAATTAGAAAATTCTTGAAAATTCAAGTACTAAAGTGAAATATAATTTTCTAAAATTTGAAACGATAAACTGGGGGTTCAATTGTCTCGCCTCGAGTAAGAAACTTACTAGAGAGTGGCCGACGTAGTGGATCTTCTGGCCGGTTTCTTGCGAGACATGGTCGAAAACAGCTGGGAGATCATATGCGACGAGTTGGTCCCATGACCAATTCCAATATTCCTTGGAGTCAGGGTCGAGGGAGGTGTGTCGACGGCTGAAGCGTGTGCCTCGAGTGTTGGTGATCCACACATCAAATCCCTTGTCGGCTAAGATCATCGGCAAGTTCTGATCTGGAGAATTCAATAGCCACGTTGTCCCGTCCTACACCATCAAAAAAGAAAACATATGGCATAGCTCAAGATAAGGTCAATTTTTCCTTTAAAACCTTTAATAGGCTAATTTCGTATAGTTTTAAAAGTTTCAATTTAATATTAAATTTATATATCTTCTTTTATTTTCTACCCCTTAAATCTGGATATAGTCATCAACTAACATATTTAGTTGTATAGAAAACATCAACTCATTTGCCATATAAAAAATGTATTAATATGGTAACAAATAAATTACAAGGTTTTTTTTACTAAAAAAAATTATAAATTACAAGGTTTTGACTTTTATAAGAAATGAACAATTGAATCTGGACTAAATTAAAATTATGTCATAATTCTAGAGAGAAAATTTCTAATTTAACATATATCACCTAAATTTTTATTTTTTTTATAGTTACATTTATAATTAAAAACAAAAATATAATAGATAATATTCTTATACATTATATGAAAAAAGAAGTCAGGACTTCGAAGTTTTCAAAAAAAAGAGTGATGTTTTCGAAATGCAGATGAAGAAGAAGAATCCATTCTTGGAACTATCAATCAGATTAATGTACGGAACGGCGCCGTATTATTCGATATAGGTTAAATAACTTTATCCTCCAACTCATTTAATTTATATTTCATCAGAAAAACTTATTTAATTTATATTTTTTTTTTCAACGTATAACTTAATGAAAACATAATAAAAATTTGTCTTTTTTTAGTTTAACAATTAATACTTGGAATGATACTGGGTGTCTTATTTTCCTATAAATTTAGACTATATTTTTCATTTGAAAATATATTTCAAATATCGATTCAAAAACCTGTTTTCTTACTTTTATTTTTATTTTCACCTAAAAAAATATTGGTTCTTCATAAGTATTAGTTTGTGTTTTGAACATTTCACAAAATTTTCAATCTACTATTTCTCCGAGAAATAATGTTTTTCTTTCTATTTTTCACTCTCTAGTCTCGAAATCTAGATAATTTATTAATTAAACTTTGAGCAAAAATTAGTTAACTATAGGATAAAAGTGATTTTTCTTTTACTCAATAACCTAAAGCGTAAGTGGACATTATCATAGACACAATAGACAGTGGCCCCTTACTTTAGAATATTAAAACTTGAGAAAAAAAAATTGAGTTCTAAGTGTGAACACGAATTTCTGACTTTTTTTTTCATAGATATATACTTTAATAGTCCAGGTTTGGGTAAAAGAAAAAGAAAATTTATCCCCTTAGCTGCACTAAAAAAAAAAGAGAGAGAATAATTTTTTTTTTTTAAAAAAATGACACCTGCAAATTTGTGAGAGCAATGAAAAAAAAAAATGAACACGTGCAACTCACTCAAAGTGCCAAAATATATAATGGAAACCCAAATTTCCTTTACAATAATTAATGTCCATCATACCCACAACTCAAACTTATTATAATTATTGTTGTATGAAAAAAAAAAAAAACCTTATAATTCAAAAAACTTAAGTCTCTTAGGTGACTTTATTACATATACGTTTTTTTTAGAAAACTGATTTAGATTTAGTTCAACCAGTTAAAATATATATCATCAATCAAACGGTTGAGTATTCGAATCTCTATTCATCGAACTCAATAATTTTCAAAATATCTACTTGATCCCACATTGATAAAAGAATGAACATTGTATAGGTTTATAACAGATATGAACTACGAATATTAATATGATATCAAAGTTCAAAACGAACGCTCAAATGAGCATCCGATCAGAGTCTACTTACGAAAAAGAATTATCTGTATTAAAGTGAGAGAAACTAAAAAGGAAAAAAAAGAAAAATTACCACAAGAACACCATGCTGTATAATGACGGGCTGTTTCTTCTTGGGTCCGCCTCCACGGCGACCTTCTGGGATTCTCTGTAGGTTCAGAATGTACCCATCTTCCGTCGTCACCTATCATGTTAACTCAGGTAACCCATTAAAAATGGTTAATATTAAAATTATGTTTGTACTAATGATGTTCAGTGGAATTTTTTTTTTTTACTTTTTTTTATATAATACTATAGAAATGTTGATTTAATTTTTACTGTACATGTTTGATAAATATTTAAAATTAGGATTTCTTCTTGTAAAAAAAAAAAATTACGTGCACGATCTCAAATTTTAATAGTATATATGTAGTATAATTATAATTTAAAGTGCTTAATATATCTAAGTGGAAATTGACATATCTCTGATTAAAAGATTTCGAACTTCATCCCCACCCCATATATTATACTAATATATATATATATATATATATATATATATATAATTTAAATGTTGAGTTCGTACATTATGCTATTTGAAATTACTATGCCTCCCTTTGGAATAAAACACTTTAAATAAAAATATGATAACAGACGTTTTTGTTTTTACACCTTTGATAACAATTTCTTATTAAATCTTAAATTCAAAAAAATTATCATATACTTACTTTTTAAAATGTTTATTATGCCATTTATAAGTAAAAAATAATGAAATAATATTTTTATTTATGTTATGAAAAAATTAAAAACCATAAATAGGTAAGTTACCGCTTATATTTTTTAAAAAAAAATGGAAACAATAAACCATAAACAATTTACCGGCTCTAAGTTTAGAACTTTTTAATATTAACATATTAAATAGTTAGATTTATATTATATGCTCGAGTTTTTTCTTTAGGAAGAAAGAAAAGGAAAAAGGATGGTGAAGAGGGAAGGATATGCTTTATGTTTCTAAAAAAATCGAAAAACAATAAAAAAAATGTTACGGTTCTGAGTTTTAAATTTTGCTCAAATTTTTCAAAGAAAAAGAAAAAGGAYGAGGAGGAGGAAGGAAAAACATATGTTTATATTTGAAAAAAATAGAAAACGAAAAGAAATAAACAAGAAATAGAAACGTGAATGTTATAGGGTTAAAATCTTTATTATTTCTTCAAAAAAAAATTATTATTAATTATCAAATATATATATATATATATATATATATTACTGTGTGTGTATATATATATACCTGAATTTCCTGGCACTTATAGCCGTGAATTGTCACAGCAGAAGGGCAGATACCGAACGCCTCCGGCGGAGCCACAACGCCGGCGTGGCCTCCGTCGCAGCAGCAGCCGAGAACCAGCAGCGCCACCGCGACCACGACGGAAAACGCCATGGCCACCACCAACTCTCTCTCTCTCTCTGTAATCTTTTTTGGGGGTTTTTATAGTGAGAGAGAGTGAAAAGAGTGTGAAATGAAAGCCAATGAAATTTGAAAGTCAAATGGGTGGGTCCCACCTGATGACGTGGCTGTAACTGAGGCTAAAATTGGTAAACTAAAATTCCGCCGGTTACGATGGATTCATCCATCATCCTTCCCTCACTTTCCTTAATTTTTCTCCACCACGTAATGATATTCCACGTGTACCAATGATATATGAGCTAATCCAAATATAGCTCGGCCATGTCATTAGATGGCGAGTCGTAACATTACGAATATAATCTTGCTCCACGGAATAAAGAGATCATTGAATCTATTTTACGGAGCTAAACTATGGAATCCTCGTTTTTTAATCTCTTTTTTTTAATAAGTTAAAGAGTTGGAATATTCACGTCATCATGTCAATTCAAACATCAACTCAATACTTAATGATGTGTTTGGTTGGTATAATTTGAAACAGCRATAAGAAAACAAGAGATTCAATAAAGAAACAAGATTGTATTCCATATTTTCAGTGTTTTCAATACGAAAATTGTTCAAGATATTTAGTATTATATTTGTAAATTAGTTGTAGTTACCAATTAAATATTTAATTAATCTAAAATAATATTATTTAATTTATTAGCATACATATCATGAAATTCTGTAAAATTATTATTTTATAATGTCTTAACGATAACAAAAATCAAATGAGTTTATAGGTTAGAATAGYATATTTATTATTGTATAAAAAAATTAATATATTTATCAAAGTTTTTATATTTTTAAATATAATCTTACATTTTAAAATTTTAAAGTTCAAATTCAACATGCGAAAACATTCCAAACATAAAAAAGTTGTTCCAAATTTCTACTTTTGGAACACATAATCCGAAAACATTTCTAAAAAACAATTATGCTACACAAATATTCACCGAATCCAAATTGTATCCTATTATTGTCTAAGGTTTGGGGTTCAAGTCTCCCATTGATTGAATTCAATGGTTAAAACAAATGTTAATACATTGAGAAATTTTGGAAATTTTCTTGTCAGAAAAATTTCACACACTTGTCTAATTTTATTATTTGTCAAATCATGTCGTGGAATCTATGACATAAAATTATGATTTAAATACTATTTAATCTTTATATATTGAACTTCGATTTATTCTAATCTATATACTTTCTAACAYATGTGCTTCAACTTTTATTTACTCGAGTTGTTTTAAACTTTTAGAATACTCTTTTTTTCATTCATACTCTAAGAATAGAATAAATTTAGGAGATTTTTATAGTGAGAGAGAAAAGAGTATGAAAAGAATGAAATTTGGGAGTCAAAAGTTTTGATGGGGCATTCACATTGGCAATGAAGTGGAGAGATTGATGGGGGAAGTGGGTCCCACTCTGATGACGTGGCGGTTTCTGAGGGCTAAAATGGGTAAATTAAATTCCGCGGGTTACGATGGGGGAGCATCATCATATTTATCCGTCATCCTCCCCCTCACTTTCCTAATAATTCTTTCTACACCATCTATTGATATAGACAAGCTGTTCTACGTCTACCAATCATTTGAATACCTTGATATACGAGCCAATCCATATACAGCACACATCCAAACATAGTTCAATGAACAAGATGATTATTAGAATAAAATACATTTTTGCCGATAAATTTCTATTTAATCCTTGAATTTCAAAAATCGACAGTTTGATTATAACTTTTAGAAATAGTTATAGAAAGTCCTTGAAAACTAGCAGCATCAAGTGTCACTRACGAAAYGYCGAAACTGGAGGCTTGGGTTGGATCGTTCATATTTGGAGAGGAGAGATTATTCACGCTGGAAACTGCAACTTGAGGGAAAGAGGGAAATCAAAGCTCTTGAAATCATGGCGATTATCAATCAATCAACATGGAAATTCGATATCCAATTTACTTAAAATTTGATTCAATTGAAGCAATTCGACTGTTGAAGAATGAGGACATCGATCTGACAGAAATCTTGTGGTCTGTAGAAGAAGCGATCCATCTTGCTGAGGAGAAAGGGTAGTCTCCATTGTCTATGTTGGAAGAGAGAAAAATAGGTCTGTGCACGTGTTGGCGRAGAAAGCAATGAACAGTGGCGTAAGCACACATCTAAGTTTGAAATGATTTAAATTATGTTAATTTTGTGAAGTTTTATTTTTTATTTTTAAATATGGGAAGATACATATTTATTTTATGTTATTTATTTATCTCCTTTTTTGAATTACATCACCAAAAAAATATTCCATGTAGATAAGGATCTGAAACTACAAATCATAGGCTGTTCAAGATTAGTTGGTTTTGGGACAAATTTTAGTTTTCTTTCCTTTTATATATAAAATGATATAATGAAAAAAAAATAATGATATAGACTAAAGTTGTTTCTATTTAACATTTAGAACTAAAATACAACCTTTTGAACTGTATGGACTAAGATCTCGTGTACTTACTCGCAATCRTAATGGAAACCAATCGTGTTTATGCAAGAATTTGCACAATGTCAAACTTCAGTCAAGCTCGAACTCTGTCCTCGTTCCGACCTAAAATTCTAAGGAAGACCTGCACAACAGGGCAAAATCTCTGACGCTCAAGTCAATAAGCAGCTCAGACTCAATATTAAGTTGGAGGAGAAATTCGATCCGTGATGATGAACTGAGGCCCTCTATTTATAGATTTAGGTTCTGACAGGGGTTGCGACAGGCAGTTATCCTGGTCGAAATTGAGATCGGACTTGTCGGGCTAGACAGATCTAACCCAGACGTTCTTACCAAAAAAAATAGTTAATTCATCCACCTCGAAAGCTTCCGAGGTGGACGTGCGCAAAGTTTTAGCTTGGGGAGGATCCCTTCAGTGAATCGTTGTCCACCACGTGGCACTTTGGTTTCTATTCCCAAACAAATTGTAATGAAAATCAATTGTAATGAAATAAATTGGAATGGAAATGTTATTCCATTGGTGTTGTTTACTTGAACATATCTGGAATTGAAATCAGATAGTCGATCTTGCATGTTAGCCACTTCTCTATCATTTGAAAAGACTTTTTTGAACCCATCAAGCTTTGGTGCTACTTCTGCCACCGAATTTGCCATGCAGTTTGATATGATAAATCATTCTATCCTTGTTGCATACTTTCCTTTTACGACCTCCACTTGAACTTTTATAAGTAAAATTGGGTTGAGGTTGTGAGAATGATGTCCCTTCATCATCAAATAGATTGAATGTGTCATCCTGAATGTCAAAATGCATGTCAAAGCCATTGATATCCACATGGGAACCATGACGAGTGCCAGCATCCTCCATTCTAATTTATTCTTCCTTGTCATGAGCATTACCTCCATGTTGACCAGTGGCACGATCTTTCCCAAATATTTCTCCTAGAGCATAATAGTGGGGAAAAAATTTTCCATATAAACCACCAGCATCCTTACGAACCTACAAGTTAAAAATTATAACTTATTGGAATATTTGAATAAAATATGTGATCTAAAATTATTTTCTTTTACATACCTTAACTCATTCATCATACGCACTTATTTCACATTTTAATATCATGAGACCATCATTCCAACTAAATCCACTTTTATCTCTAAGCAACTCGACTAGTGCATTGTATTTGGACTTTAGCGTTCTCACTCAAGATTCAATGAGTAGATTTGCTTTTGAGGTAGACAAAGGTAATTTTTCCTGCATGAATTGTTCAATTTGATTCAAATACCCATTATTGAATCCATTTTCTGCTCGCCATAAACTATTATGACTTAGTTCTAGAAGTGCGCTCACCAACACTACATCTCCCTCTACTATTGACAAAAAACGTTTATTCAATCCTCGACCTCTTTGTGTTATCCCTATATTATCCAAAATAAATACAAAAAATAACATATAATAAAATAACACGTATATAATGAAATAACAAGTGATCATAACTAATTTCAAATAATAAGTGCTCATAAATAATATCCAATAACAAAATGTAACCTACCATTTCAAATAACGAACTAAAAAGTGTTGATAATCATTTCAAATGACCAGAATTACAAATATCAAATAACAGACATTACTAAATCATTCTAAACTTTCTTGTCAAATATTGAACATCTGAGTTGTCAAAGTTTGTCTCCATATGTTCCATTCGTTTGAAGTCTGAATCGTACTGATGTAATTAGTCGTGTCATCTACAACTTCAGTTACCAATTCTTCATTGTTAAGTTCTTCTTCAAAATGATCAATTGTCATATCTCTTCTTATAAATTTATAAAGCATGCAACACACTGAAATAATTATTCGTTGTGTGACTATGTCGTAGAAAGAAAGACTCCTAAGGATTGCCCAACGCATCTTGAGTAAACCAAAACATCGTTCGATTACATTCCTAGCAGCAGAGTGTTTCAAAATTGGCTCAGGCGTCTTCCAAAAATATTTTTGGCATCGAATAATAGCTTTTAGACATTTATGGAAGTATCTACTAATGGTTCGTCCAGATCTCTTAAAGTGAAACTTATAACTCTATTTTTAACATGGTGTGCTAAAAGATGCAAAAATATTGCAACCATTTCTTCTATGGTCACATTCTCTGTCCTTCTTAATTGTCCTTCAATCCTAAGGAGAGTATATAACTTATAAAAGGTTCGTATATCCATCCTTAGTTTATTGACACAACTGATATCATTCTCATGAACCAAAGATTGCAAGTGACACACTTGATACGTAATTCTAGAAAATGTTGGTTGAAATTGTCTTAAATAGTGAAGACGTGAATAGGGACCAATGGAAATACATAGTGCAAGCATTTCTYGAAGAATAACAACCAACATATTTATGACAACATATATTTTCTTTCTTTCCAATAGTAAATCGAGCCATATCTAAATATAGAAAAAGACATAAGATGAACTTCATAATTAGTAATGCTACGGTGGAATTGAGTGTTGTTTAAAAGTAATAAAAAATAAAATAATTATGCGTCTTCGATCTAT